TTGTCTACTTGCTGTAGCCAGTGTACTTTGTCTACTTGCTGTAGCCAGTATACTTTGTCTACTTGCTGCAGCCAGTATACTTTTTCTACTTGCTGTAGCCAGTATACTTTGTCTACTTAGTATAGCCAGTATACTTTGTCTACTTGCTGCAGCCAGTATACTTTGTTAACCAAACATGGCTAGTCTCAGCATGATCTGAAAAAGCTTTACAAATCAAGCGCAGATAATCCGTGTTTTTTCTGTCCATCTTGGTTTATCCCCCTTGCATTTGAGCTCTGGACGGAGCAGATACGCTATCTGTCGATCAATATTTCTGGCTTTCCAGTGATTTTTTTCTCTTCCATTTTTAAATTTAAAAGAGAGTAAAAAGAACCTCTAATTGTATTTAAATTCAATTCTCCAGCTATTTGATAGCCGGCATTTTTATTTCTTTCACAAAGATTATCACAAAGAGTTGATAAAAACAGTCAAACAGATCTGTAGGCTGTTTCAATAGATCTGAATGTTGGATGGTTGTTTCAATAGGTCTGAATGTTGGATGGTTGTTTTAATAGACCTGAATGTTGGATAGCTGTTTCAATAGACCTGAATTTTGGATGGCTGTTTCAATAATCTGAATGTTGGATGGCTGTTTCAATAATCTGAATGTTGGATGGCTGTTTCAATAGGTCTGAATGTTGGATGGCTGTTTCAATAGAACTGAATGTTGGATGGCTGTTTCAATAGACCTGAATGTTGGATGGCTGTTTCAATACATCTGAATGTTGGATGGCATTGGATACATTTCCACATCTAGCATCGGCTGACGGTCCATAAAATATTTCTACGAATATCCAAAGAAAATATTTTAACTGTTTGCTAAAAATAGTTTTAACCATCACTAAAGATGAAAGCTTATGCATGCTGTTGGTTTTACAGTAAGTAGCGTATAAGGGTTGTACTTAGTTCTACCCTCCCCCTCCCCCACCCAACAGAAAATACAGATGTCTCCTCACCTTGAGTACACAGAGTGTGACCTTGACCCATGCTGACCCCGTCCCTACCAAAAACTGTAGATATTCCCTTCTGTTGAGAGGTCAACAAAGTGTGATTTATCACCCATTGTGGCCTTGACCCAGTAGACCCATTCAGACCCGGGGTCAAATGACCCGGACGCACAACAATGTAGTCTTAGAGATATAATTGGAGAGACAAGGTTCTCCTTATCAAGGTTTCCCTCCCTCCATCCCTCCCCTCTATTCATCCCTCCATCCCATCCCATCCCCTCCCTCCCCCACCCCCATCATGAATAGCCCCGGGCTGATGTTGAGATGAGCACTTAAAAGACTCTCCTTAAATGAGTTTTACTGGAAACACAAGGTCCAGCTAGGTCTGTGTGTAGTGGAGTGTGATTAGGGACACTCACAACTCCCTCACACGGCCCTCACACTCCCCTCACAACCCCCTCACACTCCCCTCACGCTACCCTCACGTGAGGAGATGTCAGGAAGTTAATTACTCCAGTCTTGTCCTGATCAATGGTGTTTCATAGAGTATCATAGAGTACCAGAGTAGCATAGGGTATCATAGAGTATCAATGGTGTTTCATAGAGTATCATAGAGTACCAGAGTAGCATAGGGTATCATAGAGTATCAATGGTGTTTCATAGAGTATCATAGAGTACCAGAGTAGCATAGGGTATCATAGAGTATCAATGGTGTTTCATAGAGTATCATAGAGTACCAGAGTAGCATAGGGTATCATAGAGTATCAATGGTGTTTCATAGAGTATCATAGAGTACCAGAGTAGCATAGGGTATCATAGAGTATCAATGGTGTTTCATAGAGTATCATAGAGTACCAGAGTAGCATAGGGTATCATAGAGTATCAATGGTGTTTCATAGAGTATCATAGAGTACCAGAGTAGCATAGGGTATCATAGAGTATCAATGGTGTTTCATAGAGTATCATAGAGTACCAGAGTAGCATAGGGTATCATAGAGTATCAATGGTGTTTCATAGAGTATCATAGAGTACCAGAGTAGCATAGGGTATCATAGAGTATCAATGGTGTTTCATAGAGTATCATAGAGTACCAGAGTAGCATAGGGTATCATAGAGTATCAATGGTGTTTCATAGAGTATCATAGAGTACCAGAGTAGCATAGGGTATCATAGAGTATCAATGGTGTTTCATAGAGTATCATAGAGTACCAGAGTAGCATAGGGTATCATAGAGTATCAATGGTGTTTCATAGAGTATCATAGAGTACCAGAGTAGCATAGGGTATCATAGAGTATCAATGGTGTTTCATAGAGTATCATAGAGTACCAGAGTAGCATAGGGTATCATAGAGTATCAATGGTGTTTCATAGAGTATCATAGAGTACCAGAGTAGCATAGGGTCTCATAGAGTATCAATGGTGTTTCATAGAGTATCATAGAGTACCAGAGTAGCATAGGGTATCATAGAGTATCAATGGTGTTTCATAGAGTATCATAGAGTACCAGAGTAGCATAGGGTATCATAGAGTATCAATGGTGTTTCATAGAGTATCATAGAGTACCAGAGTAGCATAGGGTATCATAGAGTATCAATGGTGTTTCATAGAGTATCATAGAGTACCAGAGTAGCATAGGGTCTCATAGAGTATCAATGGTGTTTCATAGAGTATCATAGAGTACCAGAGTAGCATAGGGTATCATAGAGTATCAATGGTGTTTCATAGAGTATCATAGAGTACCAGAGTAGCATAGGGTATCATAGAGTATCAATGGTGTTTCATAGAGTATCATAGAGTACCAGAGTAGCATAGGGTATCATAGAGTATCAATGGTGTTTCATAGAGTATCATAGAGTACCAGAGTAGCATAGGGTCTCATAGAGTATCAATGGTGTTTCATGGAGTATCATAGAGTAACAAAGAGTAGCATAGAGTAGCATAGGGTCTCATAGAGTATCAATGGTGTTTCATGGAGTATCATAGAGTACCAGAGTATCATAGAGTAGCATAGAGTATCGTTGTGTATCATAGAGTATTACAGAGTATCGATGTGTATCATAGAGTAATATAGAGGGAACAAGGGAAAACCAGAAATGAACTATCCCAGACCTTAATGCACATACCGTCCATGTATTTCAGCAAATTGATTCTACTGTCTACTACGGTACTACCCTTCATTTAATCTTGATGATGAACTTTTTCAACACTTGGTTGCAGAAGATTTGCTGTTCATTTAGTCTGCTTTAAAGATATCTTTTCTCATTTAAAAAAAAAATATCTTTTTGTTAACATTATAGTTTTTTTATGAAAATAAGCGGTGTTAACATTAGTATTTTTATGATATTCATGTTTTTTGTGTGTAGCATTTGTATGATTATACTTGTTTAGTCACATTTGTATGACACAATCTGCAATATATTGTCACAGTTTTATAACAAATTATGCTATTTGTCACAATTTATAACAAATTCTGCTGTCACAATTTATGACAATTCTGCTGTCACAATTTATGACAATTCTGTTGTCACAATTCATGACAATTCTGCTGTCATAATTCATAACAATTCTGCTGTCAGAATTTATAACAAATTCTGCTGTCACAATTTATGACAATTCTGCTGTCACAATTTATGACAATTCTGCTGTCAGAATTTATAACAAATTCTGCTGTCACAATTTATGACAATTCTGCTGTCAGAATTTATAACAAATTCTGCTGTCACAATTCATGACAATTCTGCTGTCACAATTTATGACAATTCTGCTGTCAGAATTTATGACAATTCTGCTGTCAGAATTTATAACAAATTCTGCTGTCACAATTTATGACAATTCTGCTGTCAGAATTTCTAACAAATTCTGCTGTCACAATTCATGACAATTCTGCTGTCACAATTTATGACAATTCTGCTGTCACAATTTATGACAATTCTGCTGTCACAATTTATGACAATTCTGCTGTCACAATTTATGACAATTCTGCTGTCACAATTTATGACAATTCTGCTGTCACAATTTATGACAAATTCTTCGGTCACAATTTATGACAAATTCTGCTGTCACAATTTATGACAATTCTGCTGTCACAATTTATGACAATTCTGCTGTCACAATTTATGACAATTCTGCTGTCACAATTTATGACAAATTCTTCGGTCACAATTTATGACAAATTCTGCTGTCACAATTTATAACAAATTTTGCTGTCACAATTTATGACAATTCTGTTGTCATAATTTATGACAATTCTGCTGTCACAATTTATGACAATTCTGCTGTCACAATTTATGACAATTCTGCTGTCACAATTTATGACAATTCTGTTGTCACAATTTATGACAATTCTGCTGTCACAATTTATGACAATTCTGCTGTCACAATTTATGACAATTCTGCTGTCACAATTTATGACAATTCTGCTGTCACAATTTATGACAATTCTGCTGTCACAATTTATGACAATTCTGCTGTCACAATTTATGACAATTCTGCTGTCACAATTTATGACAATTCTGCTGTCACAATTTATGACAAATTCTTCGGTCACAATTTATGACAAATTCTGCTGTCACAATTTATAACAAATTTTGCTGTCACAATTTATGACAATTCTGTTGTCACAATTTATGACAATTCTGCTGTCACAATTTATGACAATTCTGCTGTCACAATTTATGACAATTCTGCTGTCACAATTTATGACAATTCTGCTGTCACAATTTATGACAAATGTGCTGTCACAATTTATGACAAATTCTGCTGTCACAATTTATAACAAATTTTGCTGTCACAATTTATGACAATTCTGTTGTCACAATTTATGACAATTCTGCTGTCACAATTTTTGACAATTCTGCTGTCACAATTTATGACAATTCTGCTGTCACAATTTATGACAATTCTGCTGTCACAATTTATGACAATTCTGCTGTCACAATTTATGACAATTCTGCTGTCACAATTTATGACAATTCTGCTGTCACAATTTATGACAAATGCTGCTACATCTTGCAGGTGTTCGATGCCCTTGTGATCATCGCCTCCTTCGCCGTTGACGTCATCTTCATCAAAGGTTTGGCCGAGTTTGCCGTCGACGACTCCATCTTTGTTTTGGTCTTCTTGTTGCCATGGAGAGTCATTCGAGTGGTCAACAGTAAGTGGTCGAGTGTGACGTCATTGCTTTGTCGGATAGTGGGGGACGTCATTGGTCAACTGAAAGCGATATAGGGTGACTGCATTGGTCGATATATTAAAAAAACGTGTGTTGTCTTGGTTTAACCATGCCCCACGTAACGGTTTAACCAGCTAAACCCCATATGTCCGCAGGTCTTGTGATGGCTGTGATTGACCACGAGCATGTCAAGCTGAGGCTGCTGTACTCACGCAAGAAGAAGCTGGACAAGACGGTGGACACGCTCAGGAACGAGACGGATGAGTTGAAGGTGGGTCAGGGGATTAGAGGTGGGTCAGGGGATTAGAGGTGGGTCAGGGGATTAGAGGTGGGTCAGGGGATTAGAGGTGGGTCAGGGGATTAGAGGTGGGTCAGGGGGTTAGAGGTGGGTTAGGGGATTAGAGGTGGGTCAGGGGGTTAGAGGTGGGTCAGGGGATTAGAGGTGCGTCAGGGGATTAGAGGTGGGTCAGGGGGTTAGAGGTGGGTTAGGGGGATTATAGGTGGGTCAGGGGATTAGAGGTGGGTCAGGGGATTAGAGGTGGGACAGGGGATTAGAGGTGCGTCAGGGGGTTAGAGGTGGGTCAGGGGGTTAGAGGTGGGTTAGGGGATTAGAGGTGGGTCAGGGGGATTATAGGTGGGTCAGGGGATTAGAGGTGGGTCAGGGGGATTATAGGTGGGTCAGGGGATTAGAGGTGGGTTAGGGGATTATAGGTGCGTCAGGGGGATTGAAGGTGGGTCAGGGGGATTATAGGTGGGTCAGGTGGATTAAAGGGAGTCAGGGGGATTAGAGGGGGTCAGGGGATTACAGGTGGGTCTGGGGGTTAGAGGTGGTTAGGTCGGATGTAGAAGTTGGTTATGTGGGTTTAGGAGGGTTGAGGTGAGTTAGGGGGGTTAGAGGTTGGTTAGGTGAAATTAGGAGGCGAGGGCGGTTAGAGGTGGGATTAGAAGTGGATTAGGGGAGCTTGTGTTAGGGGATTTAGATGTGGGATTATAAAAGGTTTAGAGAATGTTTAGGATGGTTAGAGATGGATTAAGTCGGGCTGGGGGAAAGGTTTAGCTATAGTTAAAATACCAAATTATACAGCTACATCCACTGGAAGTCAACAGTGCCTAGCTTAACATGCCATCACTTAGGTAGCCCAGTGCTAGGTAGCCAGTGCTAGGTAGCCAGTGCTAGGTAGCCTGTAAAACCCTCTTCTCTTGGCATGTTTTAGGCCAGCACGAAGGTAACCCTCCCCCCCCCCCCCCCACCTACATAAACACTCACACTCCCACACCCACCATTAATCACACATTAAAGATTGTACCTGACGCTTTTAATGATTCGCATTTTTAAATTTATTACCCTATCTCTTAGTTCACGTGCTCTAAAACCTTTAGACAAACACACACAGACATACGTTAAACGAAATAGACACGTTCACAGACACACCTAGACATTCGTTAAACGAAACAGACACATACACACACAGATAACACAGACACACAGAGGCACACAGTAAACAAAACACACAGACACACAGTAAACAAAACACACACAGACACACAGTAAACAAAACACACACAGACACACAGTAAACAAAACACACACCGACACACAGTAAACAAAACACACACAGACACACAGTAAACAAAACACACACAGACACACAGTAAACAAAACACACAGACACACAGTAAACAAAACACACACAGACACACAGTAAACAAAACACACACAGACACACAGTAAACAAAACACACACAGACACACAGTAAACAAAACACACACAGACACACAGTAAACAAAACACACACAGACACACAGTACACAAAACACACACAGACACACAGTTAACAAAACACACACAGACACACAGTAAACAAAACACACACAGACACACAGTAAACAAAACACACACAGACACACAGTAAACAAAACTCACAGACACACAGTAAACAAAACACACACAGACACACAGTAAACAAAACACACACAGACACACAGTAAACGAAACAGACACATACACACACAGACACATCAGACACATACGTTAAACAAAACACACACAGATAACACCGACACACAGAGATAAACGAAACAGACACATACATACACACACACAGACACACGTTAAACGAAACAGACACATACATACACACACACAGACACACGTTAAACGATACAGACACATGTGGACACAGACACACACAGACTCAAACAAGGATAAAATTGCTCGGCTAGGTTAACTAGCAGGAAAAGCTCAAGGCTAATTGTAAATGAAGTTGATTACAATTGCCTTGATGCAGGCCCACATATAGGCTTAGTGTGGGGGTTTGTTATAAAACTATACTTTAATGAAACAAATTAAAATCTGATCAAGCCGTCTAGTACAGATACACCCAACATACGACCAGAGGTATTGCAACACATAACACACAACCACATCAGACACTAACACAGAACACACAACCACATCACACACAGAACACACAACCACATCACACAAACAAATGTGGTAGCGATACATTCTGCTTATTAGGTCGGTTAATCTCGTCACACCCCCGCCCCACCCCCACCCCAATCCCCCACATGTGGTAGTGATGCATCTTTGTTAAGTCGGCTAATTTTGTATTCCTGTTGTCACCCCTACCCCACTCCCACCGCAGGGCATGTTACAAGACATTCGTCAGTTCTGTATCAAGGAGGGAATTGATGCCAGTCACATCGATAGTATGCTAGGTGAGTTACTGAATGTGTGAGTCACATCGATAGTATGCTAGGTGAGTTACTGAATGTGTGAGTCACATCGATAGTATGCTAGGTGAGTTACTGAATGTGTGAGTCACATCGATAGTATGCTAGGTGAGTTACTGAATGTGTGAGTCACATCGATAGTATGCTAGGTGAGTTACTGAATGTCTGAGTCACATCGATAGTATGCTAGGTGAGTTACTGAATGTGTGAGTTAGTCGGACAAATGAGGTGAGTTACCGAATGTCCGAGTTACAGGCGGAAAAATGAGTTGAGTTACACATGTCCGAGTTACATATAGACAAGTTGGGTAAGTTTCTGGAATATCCGATTTAAAGCCCCACAAATTAGGTATTTGAGAATTTCCGTGTTCGCTGGTCGGAAAGTTCGGGTAAGTTACATCCAAACCATTGGTTATGTGTGGCGCACTGAATGGAGATTTCCTGTGGGAAATGGGGCGAACATCCTCGAAGATCTAAACTTATTACTAGAAGCGTATCTCTGGGAAAACTGAGGAACCCAGCCTAGATAGAACTCTAATGTGATTAGGTTCCAAGCGGAGCTAACAACGTTTGGCGTAGAATCTTATTTTATATGCAAACTGGCGTTAGTTATTATATACAGGATGGTGTTAGTTATATACAAGATGGTGTTAGTTATAGATAGGATGGTGTTAGTTATAGACTGAATGGTGTGAGTTATGTACATTCTGTTGTTAGTTTATACATTTGTTCTAAGTTATACACAGTTAAATTTAGTTAAATACATTATGCAGCTAGTTACGACTATCTTGTAGATAGTTATAAAAGTATGTTGTTAGTTATAAACTATCTGTAGCTAGTTATAAACGGAGAATAGATTGTCTTAAGACGGAAGCTGACAACTAGCAGACAAACAGTATAACATAGTTCTCAGAATTGTAAAGCAATCGATCGTGTTTACAAATTTCGATTTGGTGTTAAAAACTCGTAAATTGCCATAAAATTCGAAAGATATTTCAAACTATAGTTGTAAACAAACAACACTAAATGTAATTGACTGTTCCCCAGGTAAGTTCGCGCCCCGCCGCAGAAAGGATTCCAAGTTCTACACGCTGGTCAAGCTGGTCATGAGCACGGCCTCCATGAACAACAACGACAACGACTCCATCAGCAGCTCGTCCATGGAGAACGACATCCGCCACATAGCCACGCGCGACAGCGTCATGACGGACGCGGCCAGTGCTGACGGCACTCTCTCCTCGCTCAAGAACTACATGTCTGTGCCGTTCTGCTCGCCCAAAACACATTCCATCTCCGACATTGAGAGCATCGGCGGCGACCTGCCCAACCCCAGCCCCAGCATCTTCGTCACCTCCCCAGCCAGCGACGACGACAACGCCACCTTTTCGTTTTGCGACGTGGAGATGGAGAGCTCGGAGGTGGGGCAGAGAGAGGCGCCGGAGTCCATCCCCGAGGAGGGGCCCGCTGCGACCTTGACCGTCAGCTCCAACACGCTGCAGGGCGGCAACGTCAACACGGTGGCGTTCTACGTGGGGAGCCAGACGTCGCTGGACTACCTCTCCCAGGAGAACCTGCTGCAGGACAACGATAACTCGCTCTCTCACCTGGCGCTAGGGGGCGCTTACGGTGGAGCGGGGGTGGAGCATGTGGTGGACGCCAACAAAAACATGTCCTTCCACCACAACTTCGGCCAGTTCCTGACCGTCCCGCCGTGCACCATACTCCTGCCGGCACCGCCGAAAGACGACAGCACCACCAGCAGCAACAACAACATCAACCACAACAACAACCACGACAGCAGCCACGCCCACGACTCCCCCACCCCCCACACGCCGCTGCTGTCGCGGGCGGGGAAGGCCAGCCCTGAGATGCGCCGCTCCGCCTCTGACCACATCGACGTCACCTCCTCCCTGACCTACTCCGCCATCGGGGCCCACCACCACACGTTCTACGGCAGCCCCGTCCCCGCGCGCAGAAGGCCGGACCTCAAGGCCAAGAGGAGGGAGTACGCAAGGTCAAGGTCAGAGTCGGAAGACAGGGATGTCGTGACTCTCCTGCGGCCTGACGCCAAAGCGCGTTTTCGGCGTCACAGCGGTGAGCCCCGCAGTAAAAGATCCGCGGACACGAAGCAGACGACGCCCCCCGCCACCTCGCTGCTGTCCCTGCCAGACCAGGGCGGCATGACCTACTCGTCCTCAAGGTCAATGAATGACGTCAGCTCGGCCGGCCACCAGCAGGGCAACAACATGATCCGCGAGGGCCCCATCTTGCGACGCTCCTGTCTCAGCCTCAATAGCGAGGGCAGGAAGCGGCGCACCAAATCTCCTCACAGAGTCAGCTTCAAGGTCTCATAGCGTCGGTGTGACGCTTGAAATCTTCAGCTTCAAGGTCTCATAGCAACGCTTTAAATGTTCAGGTTCAATGCGTCAGTGTGACGCTTAAAATGTTCAATTTCAAGGCGTCATAGCGACGCATGACATTTTGTTTGGAGGCGACACAGTGACCAGTGTTTATGTTTGAAGCTGTTAAAAGATCTGAAAATCTCGCCATTCGGAGAGTGTTTGATGTAGTTAAACTGTTTCTGCTGTTTGTTCAGAGAGCACGGATCTTGAGGCTAGAATATTGTACACAACTTGGACACAGTCGTCCTTATTATTGCCAAAATTAGCATCGCCATGTGTGTGCTGCTTCTAGGTTGTATAACGTGCATTGTTGTATAACATTTAGTGTTATATAACATCCAATGTTGTATAACATCCAGTGTTGTATAACATCCAGTGTTGTATAACATGCAGGGTTGTATAACATTTAGTGTTATATAACATTCAGTCTTGTATAACATCCAGTGTTCTATAACATTCAGTCTTGTATAACATTCAGTGTTGTATAACATCAAGTGTTGTATAACATGCAGTATTGTATAACATTTAGTGTTATATAACATCCGGTGTTATATAACATGCAGTGTTGTATAACATTCAGTGCTGTATAACATTCAGTGTTGTATAACATTCAGTGTTGTATAACATTCAGTGTTGTATAACATTCAGTGTTGTATAACACTCAGTGTTGTATAACATTCAGTGTTGTATAACATACAGTGTTGTATTACATGCAGGGTTATACACCAGGTAGGGTTATATAGTATGCAGGTTGTACAGTATGAGTTATGTATTTGAAAATCTCGTAGATAATGCTGGTCATTGCTAGTACGGATGGCTGGCTTATCGCTGTACATATATCTTCATGTAGTTAGTTCATTGATTTATGTCCAATAACGTCAAGTTGTATACTGCGGTGTGTGATGTGGTGTGGGTGTGTGGTGTGGATGTGCGGTGTGTGTGTGTGTGTGGTGTGGGTGTGGGTGTGGTGTGTGGTGAAAGAATGGTTAAGTTCGGCCGTGTGTAGGCTTGGTTGGGTCAGTTTGATTGTCAGTCCAGTGGTCAGTCTATTGGTAAGTTTATCGGTCAGTTTATTGATCAAACTGTTGGTCAGTCTATTGGTCAGTCTGTTGACTAGCCTATTGGTCAGTCTGTTGGTCAATCTATTAGTAAGTCTGTTGATTAGTCTATTGGTCAGTCCGTTGGTCAGTTTATTGGTATGTCTATTGATCAGTCTGTTAGTCAGTTTATTGGTAATTTAATTGGTCAGTCTGTTGTTCAGTCTATTGGGCAGTCTGTTGATCAGTCTGTTGGTCAGTTTATTGGTAATTTAATTGGTCAGTCTGTTGTTCAGTCTATTGGTCAGTCTGTTGATGGCAAGTTTGGTCTGTTAACTGGTCAGTCTATAACCTAGACTGGTCAGTCTCGTTTTGTCAGACTGATTAGTCTGTGTCTGCTGTTTGTACATGCTGCTGTCCATAATAATCTGACATCAGGCCATTGTTTAGTCCTATGCAGATTTCAGTGACAACGGTTTCAATTGCTCCACATTTTTCAACTTTATCACGTTGTACCATCAGCGTCATCTAACAATGTGACATCATACCGTCACAGTGACGGATGTGACATCACACCGTCACAGTGACGGATGTGACATCAGACCGTCACAGTGACGGATGTGACATCAGACCGTCACAGTGACGGATGTGACATCAGACCGTCACAATGACCCTACGACTGACCGTCACACTCCACAAAGTGACATCTATGTCACATTGCCCTACGGGTTATGTGACAAGCAACACTAAACGGCAGTGTTAACTATTCTATAAATAGAGCGACAAATATATCCGCTAGAAAGACAATTTTGAACACCAAAATTCAACTTGTCTACAGTAAAAAAAAATAATTCCCGAAGTAAACTTGAACTGTAAGTGACATATTAACAACATAAAACTATTTTTGTAATTGATGAAAATCGTTCAAGGGAGAGAAATCTAATAACTTTTTTACGAAACCACAATTTAAAACGATTTTTTTTAATACTTGAAAAATATTGTTTTTTATTCTTTTTTTTTTGGTCACATCTGGTCCGGTGCTTTATGCCCATAGGCTGGAGTTCTGACCCCTAGGCTGGAGTTCTGACCCCTAGGCTGGAGTTCTGACCCCTAGTCTGGAGTTCTGACCTCTAGGCTGGAGTTCTGACCCCTAGTCTGGAGTTATGACCCCTAGTTTGATGACCTCTGACCCCTAGTAGACGACATGTTGAAGACAAGTACAACGACATTTTGGTTGGTCAGCATTATATGTTGTAAACTTAGGGAGCTAAGAGTTTAGCTCAATAGCTCCTGTTACTCAGGAGCTGTCTGTACAAGCGGCTCCTACTGTTGTAAAGACTTGGGACATAATGGAGAGGGGGGTGTAGTGGGGGGATAAAAATGTTCTATCAACAATTTCGTCTTTGATAATTTTTTAGCTGACTTTGGATCTTGTATAAAGTATTGATCTAAATATAGATCTGATAAAGTATTGATTTGAATATAAATCTAATAAAGTATTCCTCTGAATATAAATCTAATTACGTATTCATATGATTATAAATCTAATTAAGTATTCATCTGAATATGAATCTAACTAAGTATTAATATAATTAGAAATCTAAATAAGTATTCATCTGAATATAGATCTGATAAAGTGTTGATCTAAAAATAGATCTGATAAAGTTTTTTCATCTGAATATAGATCTGATAAAGTATTCCAAGCAAAAGTTGTTGTCGTGTTATTTCTGCTGTGATTTGAACATTTCTCACGTGATATCTATATATAGCACCGGTGTTTTGATTTTTCTCAAGAGTTGTTCCCCTGCCCTGTTGATTCAAGCGGGATGAAGTGCAATACAAAAAAAATATTGTGATATTTCTTTTACAAACATTTGTAATTTCCGGCTGTTTTCATCTTTTGGTATGTTAAATTTTTGACCTGTCATTTTTGATTCGTCAGTCCATTTGTGACAGTCAACTTTTCCCAAATAACTTGTCAAAACTAAATTGTTACATTCTGCTTTTAAGAAAGATTACTGTTTTTAAATAGCTTTATGGACGTGACCTAGTGTACTAAAAATAGCAATCGTCAGACAAGTATTGCCCTGTAACTAACTTACTTTAACAAACGCTAGAAAGATCAAAGTCGTTGGAGGCATAGTCTGACTAACTACATGATTCGCTGTTTTTGGTAGATTGGTCTTCGCCAATTTATGTGTTCACTACATGAAACCTAAGACAATCTCTTAGACTGGACATAGTTCTAAAAATGGACACACATATAGGTACCACGTTCACCCATCCCAACACTCTCAGTCCACAGTGGATTAGAACCCAGATCTTCTGGTGTGAGAAAGATACAGGGTGATTTTATTCAGTCTATGTGATCTTTGAAAGATCATTCATTGAGCACTTATTGACTGTGTGTGATCTGTAATAGTTCACTCATGGAATGATCTTTGGTAGATCATTCATTGAAAGCTTGTTGACTGTGACATGTGAAAGATTATCCAAAAGCACAACGAACAATTAGGTTTCCTCATCCAAATCTGAATTAGACTTGTTTATGCATAACGTGGAATGTGTGGTCTATCTACCAACACTGTACATATTGACACACGTACAATTTGGCACTTGTACACTCCCATCCAAGTCCACCTGTGTAGCCTTGTACAGGTGTACACAACACCTTGATGCCACATCTATTGTACCATAGCTCTGGTCCTCACGTCATTAGACTTTTAAAAACTGTAAATTGTTACTTAAACAACTAATTTCTAAACTTACTTCAACAACAGAATTAAATGTGTTGAAGACAAACATAGTATATCAAGATTTAATGGTCAGATACGGCTTCGACCACCACTAGTTAGTACCCACTCTAGTACTATAGAAGTAACCACATCGCCAGTATTTGGGTACATACATCAACAAGAAAGGGTACCCATGTCATCACTAAAATGGTACCCATGTCATCACTAAAATGGTACAACGCTACAACCGACCGCCATACTATCATTTATGTATAGAGCATATTTACTTCAAGCTAAATATACGTGCTAGAGCCCTGCTATATAATTCAAAGTTTTCTAATTAGCGCAAGTTTCAAAACAAATTTAAAAGCTCTATCTAAAGTTTTCATCGTTCTATAAATAGAATTCTCCATTTTTTAAACGTGTGTTTTATGATACAGTTCCTCATTGTTTAAAATACTGTATAGTTTCATTTCAATTTGGTATTGTTGCATACATGTTCACTTCTTACGTCATATTCACCGCCATTATTGTTTACATTCATATAACGATGTGATTGGTTATATAGTTACTAGCTAGTCTGTGATTGGATAGCGAACATTTAAATTTTTAGATAACTTTATGCTCTACTTGCAGACTGCATGCAAGATCTCTCAGTTCAATAAAATATTTATAACGATTTGTTGTCGTTTTTTTTATGATCTTTAAGTGCTGCTTTGTTATTGTTGCAAGATACATCAGTACTCATTTATTATAATGGTATACCACGGTGGCCAACTTACCCAGTGGCCATCAAACTCAATGGCCTACAAACCTAATGGCCAACATAACCAGTGGCCAAAACACCATCATGACTGAATCAGTCAATGAATACCAAGTCAAGGTCATGTCAGGTGACTATTGATACATTGAGCTCGTGAGATGTGACGTCACATGGTGACAACGTCTCACACCACTGACGTCATACCTTGACAAACACGGAGTCTACCTGCAGGTGAGGGGGCTACAGTCAACATCCACAGGTAGCTGTCGAGATATGGAAATGACGGAGGAACGAAGTGGATCCACGGCAAACAAACCAGCCTTATGGCAAGCTGTGACGTCACCCACTCCCTAGCCAGATCCGGGTCTATAAAATCATCCAACTTCGGTGGCCTGTTTTAAACTTTGATTTAACTTTCAATGTGGTGACTGGTGTTACACGGTTGACTGGTGTTACAAGATCCAGTGGTGTTACACACTTCAGACTGCCACCATGAGCAGACTCCAAGCGGCCGTCTTAATGACGTCATTGTTTGTTTCAGGTAAGAATTATTCGCGCGATATTTTATACTTAATTTTACACCTCGATTTTTAAAGTATGTATCAGTACTATTTTGAAAGAAAAAGCAGGCTGAAATCAGAGTCAATGACCTATATGGCGCATAACACGATGACGTGTAATACGTAACTGTGTTGTTAGAAATCCCTTCCACATTACAATTAAAAAGAAGAAGAAGTAGTGTTTAAAAACAACCAGAACTAGAACAAAAAGTATAAACACAAATGTTAAATAAAGCCGCTATAAATAGAAATATTCTAGTTCCTGGATTCATGTCCATATAAACGTACGATTTTTTAATGTAATCAAAAGCAGATTGAAATCAACGCCAGTTTTTCGCAGGAAACGAAACAAAATTAAAATTCCTCGCTAGTAAATTCACCACGTTCTAAAGTTGATAGTAGATCTTTAAATTTAAAATAGTGTATAGCTAATGGTAGATTTATAAACGTTTTTAAAAGTTTGTATTTTCTTAAGTATTCCACTCGCCGTCCTAGCCAGGCGCCGCACTGGCTATGATCTGTACAACGTTACTTAGGTGCCTTCCGTGTGATTGCATTTAATAACGCAACATGTTTAAAGATTGAATCACAAACATGTTTTAAAGATTGTATCACAAACAAGTTTTAAGGATACAAGATACACATGTTTTCGATTTTTAGAAAAATTTGCTCTTCAAAGTTTTTATTTCTTAATTCTGTACTAATACCCTTTACCTATCTAACCCGAACATTTCGGACTTCTGCAGCCTAAGGTTATCCTTCTATTGCGATGTGAAACATGGTACCCCTCCCGATGGTAGGAAAAAAAGTCACAGGAAAAAAAACACAGGAAAAAAACCACAAAAAAGTCACAGGAAAAAAAGTCACAGGAAAAAAGCCACAAATATATATTTGCATGATATTTGTTAATACTTTTGTGTATTAAATATTTAGAGAGTGCAAATTAACTTAGAATTAATTAAATGTAATGTAATGTGTGTAGGCGGTATACGAATAGTAATTTTTATAATTCATCTAAAAATATTTAGTATGAAGTATGTAGATTGTAATTATGTTAAACTTAAGATTAGTAGCACTTAATAGAATGCTCCAAAGTCCACTGTTTTCAACGTGTTTTTTTTAAATACCTACATTAAATTACCGTGAAATAGTAAGTTCATCTGACTTGCTGCCCTCAACTCATGGCAACAATAGTTATGCTTAGTTCAACCACCTTTACTGCCCACATTTATCACGCTCATTACATAACAAAGCATAACAAACAGAAAGCCGATAAGGTTCAAAGGCTGTCATTGACGCATAACGTCAACAACACAAAATATGTTGGGACAATGCCTACTGAGGAGAGGCCGACCAGAAAATAGCCTGCGGCTATTTACAATCTACATACTTCATACTAAATATTTTTAGATGAATTATAAAAATTCCTATGCGTATACAGCCTACACACATTACATTACATTTAATTAATCCTAAGTTAATTTGCACTCTCTAAATATTTAATACATACAAGTATTAACAAATATCATGCAAATATATATTAGTGACTTTTTTTCCTTTGACTTTTTTCCTGTGACTTTTTTTTCCTGTAACTTTTTTTCTGTGTTTTTTTTTCCTGTGTTTTTTTCCTGTGACTTTTTTTTCTACAATCCTCTTCATTCCCCTCATCCCCTTTTCGCTATTCAACCAACGACCAGTTTATAATCTTGTTACGGCATGCTGTGATAGGCTTGAACGCGTTCATCAGACTTTAAATCGGAACTTAAAACGACACGTGTTAATGTGTATGCCCTTCGCTCTGTATAGGGTTTGCTAGCAACTAATGTAAAATACTAGATGGGTTAGCTGATAAGCTTTCACTTAGGCCTTATACGGAAACATAGTGCTATCTATAGGGAAGTGTTATTCACGGTTCAATAAACATCCGTAATCTATGTCTAATTGGATATTAACGCACTATCCAGCGGTGGGGAGGTGTGGGATGGGGGCGTGTCTAGCATCAAGCGCAATACCCAGGATTGTGTAGTAGGCTATTATTAAAAGGCAATAAACTTGTGTAAGCTACAATCTGTTAAGTAGGGACAGACATTTTATTGAAGTGAGAAGACCGTCTAACAAACAAAACTTAATCTGGTTTGGTGATAGCTGTTCTGAGAATAACACTCGATGGATAGGATGTGTAATACTTAATAGTCATAAATTCATTACCTGTTGTATACATATTTTCTTCTTACATAGAAAAATCTGTCTCAAACTTACAACATAAATCCCTACGTATTTAATTAGTCAAATGGTTCTTCCACACATAACAAGACTTTTTTTCTGTGTTCTATAAGAGGAAACGCACAGTGCCTTTTTCTGCCCTTCTTTTCACGTTTTCTCAACTTTGTTTTTACTCAAAATTCAACATTCAAATCGCTAACGCTTTGGACCACTTTGTTATACAAGACTGAAACATTCCACGTGCATTCAGCACTATACCACCTACCAAACTACGATTGTACATTAAGTTTACTACAATACTTTAGGAAATATTGATATTTATGTAGCACCTCCCCTAATTTGTGTACATAAATGTACGTAAAAATTTGTATTAAAAAATAAGTACGAGCTATCGCAATGAATAAACGTAGAAATGTATAGTTTGGTTTGAGAAATCTAAATCTTTCATCAAATTTAAAAAATCTCTTATGGTAACAAAATTATAGTGGTTTGAAAAGGTGTTAGTTTTCACGCCTTTTCGTGTTTTCGTGGTTTCCATGGCAGCCAGTGCTGCTATTTGAATTTATTAGACACCCATAACTGTGTTAAATAAAACAAATATTTTTATCCGTATTGTCTATCATTAAGTTTGTCTCACCCTCCAGTGCAGGCGAGCCTAGTACTGGACTTTAACTGTTTCGACTGGCAGTATTGGGAAAAAGGCTCCTCCTGTCTGATACAAGCCTACGGCTACTGCACCTGTCACCTGGTCAATTCTACCGGAACTGTCACGTGGTACACCTCCAAAGGAAAACTGGCCAATCAGGAGATGGCGACCAATCAGACCACGTCCAAGCTCATTGTACAGTTTCCGGCGTCTAAGTCAGGTGAGGAGGTCTAAATTCATATCTAATGATGTGCATGTTCATCAAGTTATGAACAAGTTCATCAAGTTGTGTAAAAATTCATCTAGTTGTGTAGCCCTAATATTCTTTAGTTCAATTGTATATCTATATATATAATTCTCTTCTGGGAGACGCCAGAAAACAAGCTGTAAAAGCGCTCCCTACCATCCCCACCCCTACATGGTCTTAGTGAGCTATGGTTCACGCTATGTTTACCTTCGTGGAGTCGGGTTTAGTGACGGCTATTAGGGGCAGATAATTTAGTTTGAAACGATTTTAAACGTTGGGGGGGAGGAGGGGGGAGGGGGGGGGTTATGGTCTTTAACGAGCTACTTATAGTGTTTTAAAGAAATAATGTCAGTGTCAGCGTTGGTACTTTCGAATTAACAAATTATGAATTACTGAAAAATAGAAAAAACAACAACTAAATAGCGGCGTATGTTCTGCCGCGGGCCGGCTCGTTAATTTTAATTACCTAATTATGAATTTGCTATTTCCACATATTTGTCCAAACCACATTAACCACTAGGGGGACGGAGTGGTCTAGCGGTAGAGAGCTGGACTGCTAACCTGTAAGTCTCGAGTTTAAATCCGGGTTCAAATCAGTAGACCGTCCCTGAGTCCACCCAACTCTGATGGGTACCTAACTCACGTTAGGGAAAGTAAAGGCGGCTGGGCATAGTGCTGACTACACTATCTCTTCATATGCCGAGGTCACAGAAACAAGTGAACTCTACTTCACTTGCCCTATAGACCGTCACGTTTGAAAGGGAACTTTACTTACATAAACCACTGCAATAAGTATGACGTCTCACACGCCTATTAGTATGACGTCTCACATGCCTATTAGTATGACGTCTCACATGCCTATTAGTATGACGTCTCACATGCCTATTAGTATGACGTCTCACACGCCTATTAGTATGACGTCTCACACGCCTATTAGTATGACGTCTCACATGCCTATTAGTATGACGTCTCACATGCCTATAATTCAACCAACACTTCCTCTCCCCAGTTCGTAATGAGACGTTTGTGTGTAAGGCCATCTCCACTGGACAGCCCGAGCAGTTGGTCTTCAAGACACAGTATTCTGGTAGGTAGCACTTTTTGACCAGTGGGTAGCACACATTGACCAGTAGGTAGCACACATTGACCAGTTGGTAGCACACATTGACCAAAAGATAGCCTACAATGACCAGTAGGTAGCACGTTTATACCAGTAGGTAGCACACATTGACCATTTGGTGGCACTTTTTGACCAGTAGGTAGCCCAAATCGACCAGTGGGTAGCTCTCAAATATCAGATACTAGGTTGGAACTGCAATAAAAGACTGGCCATCTCTGTCACCAGATGGCCCAGGTTCCATCTCCTTAAGACTGGCCAACGCCACTTCAAACAACGTCGACCTTTGCCCAGGCAAGCCGAGGGAAGCAACGGTCTACTGTGAGGTCCCAGCGTCCTCCATCTACCCCGAGCCGTGGTTCCACATGTCGAGTAACGGGAGCCGGCTCTTCAACTACGACCTGTTCCTGGGCAACCTGAGTGACGGCACGTACAGGGTGACCCACCAGGCTAGGCTCACCACCCCCGGGGAGCTCAGTCTTAGCTGCATGGCTTTCAACAGCTGCCACAAGATTAACGTCATACAAAGCTATCTTAAGCTCAATGTCCGAGGTAAGTTTAATCTCATACACAGCTATCTTAAGCTCAATGTCCGAGGTAAGTTTAATGTTATACACAGCTTTCTTAAGCTCAATGTCCGAGGTAAGTTTAATCTCATACACAGCTATCTTAAGCTCAATGTCCGAGGTAAGTTTAATGTTATACACAGCTTTCTTAAGCTCAATGTCCGAGGTAAGTTTAATCTCATACACAGCTATCTTAAGCTCAATGTCCGAGGTAAGTTTAATGTTATACACAGCTTTCTTAAGCTCAATGTTCGAGGTAAGTTTAATGTTATACACAGCTATCTTAAGCTCAATGTCCGAGGTAAGTTTAATGTTATACACAGCTATCTTAAGCTCAATGTCCGAGGTAAGTTTAATGTCATACACAGCTCTCTTAAGCTCAATGTTCGAGGTAAGTTTAATGTTATACACAGCTATCTTAAGCTCAATGTTCGAGTTAAGTTTAACATCATACACAGCTATATTAAGCTCATTTTCCGAGGTAAGTTTAAAGTTTAATGTTATACACAGCTATCTTAAGCTTAATGTCCGAGGTAAGTTTAATGTTATACACAGCTATCTTAAGCTCAATGTTCGAGTTAAGTTTAACATCATACACAGCTATATTAAGCTCATTTTCCGAGGTAAGTTTAAAGTTTAATGTTATACACAGCTATCTTAAGCTCAATGTTCGAGGTAAGTTTAATGTTATACAAAGCTATCTTAAGCTCAATGTTCGAGGTAAGTTTAATGTTATACACAGCTATCTTAAGCTCAATGTTCGAGGTAAGTTTAATGTTATACACAGCTATCTTAAGCTCAATGTTCGAGTTAAGTTTAACATCATACACAGCTATATTAAGCTCATTTTCCGAGGTAAGTTTAAAGTTTAATGTCATACAAAGCTATCTTAAGCTCAATGTCCGAGGTAAGTTTAATGTTATACACAGCTATCTTAAGCTCAATGTTCGAGGTAAGTTTAATGTTATACACAGCTATCTTAAGCTCAATGTTCGAGTTAAGTTTAACATCATACACAGCTATATTAAGCTCATTTTCCGAGGTAAGTTTAAAGTTTAATGTTATACACAGCTATCTTAAGCTCAATGTTCGAGGTAAGTTTAATGTTATACAAAGCTATCTTAAGCTCAATGTTCGAGGTAAGTTTAATGTCATACACAGCTATCTTAAGCTCAGTGTATAGAGGTAAGTTTATGGGATGGGGTGGGGAAGGGGTGAACTTGAAACTGTTTGCCTCCAAGAATAATTTATAGTGAAAGGTACGTAATTTATCCGTAATGCATTGTTTACTTCTATAGAGCTGGTTACTACTTGCTTAAGGTGTAACTGTGTCGTTCTCGGCTGAGTATTCCAACGGTTCTCACGTCTTGTCTGAGTGTTCCAATGCTTCAAACATCTTATCTGTCTGAGTATTCCAATGGTTCTCACATCCTGTTCCAGAACCCCCCACGTCGGCGCCAGAGCTTTATGTGAACGACCAGAAGTTCAACTCTAGCGGCACTGCGCATGTCACCGCCGTCAGCATGGTGACGGTGACGTGCTCCGTCACTGGCGTTCTGCCCGCGGTGTCCAGCGTCACGGTCCGGTGTGGCACCGTCACGGTGACGTCACAGGGCAGCGTGGTGTACCTGCAGAAGATCCGCGCCAGGCTGGGGTCAAGCTGCACGTGCACCGCTCGTCACGTGACCAACTGTTACGTCAACAACACAACAACGGTCACCTTGGTCGATATTTGATTGATTATGTAAAATGTAATATAACATAACGGAAATACAGCAGTACCAATTGATGATGTACATAATATGTAAGAAATGACCAATAAAATGTATACAAATATAATATTGACATGTTAATTGTTTTTATTAAAATATACTTTTTTTTTAAAAACCGGACGTTAGTGCTTAAAAACAAATTGCTTTAAAAAATTTCAAATATCGTGGGGGTGGGGGGGGGGGGTAGGCCTAATTAACTAAATTATTTTAATGAAAATCACGTATAGACACGTGCACTAGTGCTTTTGCATAGATAAGCTACCCATTCTGGGTCATGTAAAACGTCATTTAATATATCAAACCTACCACACACGTACAGAGAACAAAGGCATCAAATCTCTACACACGTACATAGAACAAAGGCAACTCTGAACTGGTTTAAGTTGCCGGTTTAAACAAATAAAGGCTGTAATTGTAAACTTTCAGAACCTGTACATGTATGCTAACTCATGTACGTCTACTGCAGCAGACTTACTAGTCAGATCCTACAATACAAGGAATATATCACTCAGCGTATGGGGGTCATGTTTAGGGAATTTTTTAGAATTACAATCTACACACAATATAAAAAAATGGCTTCAAACCACCCATTTAATGAGTATGACACGTGATCTTATTTATTTAACCCATGTAGCTCCGCCCCTACCTTACACAAGGAGATGGACTGACGGTAACTCTACCTCGGATTGACCAGAATCTCTCTTTTGTATGTTAAATACATGACAATTACTTGGCCTACATAGAAAACAAACCTGGTAATGAGTTAGACAGTTGGAGGAACGTTTTATTTATCTTGCAAATCTAGTGTCAAATGAAGAGGTGCTTACTACGCTGAATGTATGCAAATGATCACCGGTCGAGAGGGAAATACCAAGAAAGGAAGTGTGTGAGGGAGGTGGGGGAGGGGAGGGGGGGTTAACGTTCAGAAATGGAGATAGAGGTGACCAGAAAGATGCGCAACTGAAAAAAGCGCATACAGCAATGTGCGCACACAGACCAACTTAAACACGAAAGCATAAACACACACACACACATATATATATATATATATATATATATATATATATATATATATATATATATACTAGCCGTCCCGGCCAGGCCCTGCTCTGGCTTCTGTGAAAAACCTTTCTGTTAAAGACCATTACCTGTGTGTTTAGTAATCATCATAAACCCGGCATTACCCAACCAAACCACAACCAACCAAAACAACAAAACGCAAACATAACGTTAACACAATTACAAATACAAACGAAGACAAAAACCTAACAACAAACCCAACCACAATCACAAACACCAATACAAACACAAAGAAAAAACAAACAAAAAAGCAAACGAAAACAAAAACCTAACAACAAACCCAACCACAACCACAAACACCAACACAAACCCAAAGAAAAAAACAAAAACGAAAAAGCAAAAGCAAAAGCAAACGAAAACAAACCAAATCCAAACGCAAAACCAACCATAAACACAAATACAAACACAAACCCAAAGAAAAAAACACAAATGAAAACGAAAAAAGAAAGAACAAAAACGAACCAAATCAAAACGCAACCACTAACGCAAACCCAATCTAAACACAAAGAAAACACTAACGCGAACATAAACGCAAAGTGCTCACAGTCTAGCCCAGGGCAGAATCTCCTGTTTCAGCTTAATAATCGACTACAGTACCCCAACTTATTCATAGTCTTTTGCACTCACTTAAACGAACGTAGGTGCCAAACCAAACCAAATGAACAATTATAATACTCCAAGCTTATTCGTTAAATACCTACAACATTTGCACTTGATCAATCCCCGCTAATTATGTAATTATGTTTTTCCCAACACCAAAACAAAGTAATAAAAAGTAAATTCTTTTCCACTAATGCAATGTTTTATAAAGGGAAGTAATTGTGCTTTCCTAATTTATCAAAGGGAAGTAAGTGCTAAAGGACTAAATATAAATAATTTTCAGACATAATTAGAATTTTTGTTATTTTTTAAAAATTATGTTTAATGAACATGCCGGCAATTATTACTATCAATTTGAAAAATGAAAATTATTTCCCAACACTTTCAATAGTAATTTTTTAACTCATAAATTTAGACTATGAGCACGATAATAGTCCAACACTTAAATCCATAGAAATATGTCAACGACAAACAAACTTATTACAGGTTACATACAGAATTAAGCTTTATATATTAGATATATACTAGCCGTCCCAGCCAGGCCCTGCTCTGTCTTCTGTGAAAAACCTTTCTGTTAAAGACCATTACCTGTGTGTTTAGTAATCATCATAAACCCGGCATTGCCCACCCAAACCACAACCAACCAAAACTAAAACAACAAAACGCAAACATAACGCTAACACAATTACAAACACAAACGAAAACAAAAACCTAACAACAAACCCAACCACAACCACCAATACAAACACAAAGAAAAAACAAACAAAAAAGCAAACGAAAACAAAAACCTAACAACAAACCCAACCACAACCACAAACACCAATACGAACACAAAGAAAAAAAACACAAACGATAAAGCAAACGAAAACAAACCAAATCCAAACGCAAAACCAACCACAAACACAAACCCAAAGAAAAAAAACACAAACGATAAAGCAAACGAAAACAAACCAAATCCAAACGCAAAACCAACCACAAACACAAATACAAACACAAACCCAAAGAAAAAAACACAAACAAAAACGAAAAAAGAAAGAACAAAAACGAACCAAATCAAAACGCAACCACTAACGCAAACCCAACCTAAACACAAAGAAAACACTAACGCGAACATAAACGCAAAGTGCTCACAGTCTAGCCCGGGGCAGAATCGCCTGTTTCAGCTTAATAATCGACTATAGTACCCCAACTTATTCATAGACTTTTTGCACTCACTTAAACGAACGTAGGTGCCAAACCAAACCAAATGAACAATTATAATACTCCAAGCTTATTCGTAAAATACCTACAACATTTGCAATTGATCAATCCCCGCTAATTATGTAATTATTTTTTTCCAACGCCAAAACAAAGTAATAAAAAGTAAATTCTTTTCCACTGTCGTATTTTATTTAAACAACATTAAAATTTTAAAGAAATTTTTTAAATATTTTGTTTTGTTTCATACATTGAACTTTAATTATATGTTATATAGCTATGCGATGATAATATATTATGATAAAAATATCATTTGGATGTTTAATAATGTTTTTTTTTTTTTTGCAAATTTGTTTTTCAATTTTCTGATATTTGGGTGATACTCCCCCCCCCCCCAAATAAATACCTTAGTGCAGACGTTCACCCAACCACCCTGCCCAGCATCCAACAATTTATTTTCTTCAATATCACACTGTGTTTACCTGTGTGACATTTCTAAATCTGGTTTCTGTTACAATGGTGTACACGATTAAAAAATATTTTGCATAGATTCGATCATTAATTTTTGTGTGATATAAGTCTTACCCGACACAAATAATGACGTCATTATTATCGCCGCCTGCACCCCCCACATTTTGTGTTAGAACTTGACTATAGATCTCTAGAACAAAACTTTAAACATCAGATCAAAAATTATTTTTGACAGATAAAATCTCTGTAATCACCAACATGTATGGAAACATCGAAGGTTATCTACCAATGGGAGTAATTGTGAGATAATAATGAAGTGATTAAAAAATGTTAAGCAATAATCAAGTGCTTTTTCTACTTTCCTTTTACAATTATTTGTTGTTTTAATGAGCTGATATCCACACACCATCCCTTTTTTGATTAGCCACACACCACTCCTGCAAACAGCCCTATACCATTCATTAAAATAATATTAATATCCAGTGCTCGATCCAACAAAACATGGAACATTAATTTGAAAATTCACAATGTTTTAATTATAATTTAATTTAATGTTGATGGTACAATAGAAACACATTTAAAAGTGATTGATACAAGTTCTGGAACAACAGCATACAAAAGATACAAGTTTTGGAACACTTACATAAACATTTGTTACAAGAACATTTGTCACATGAAACCAGCCACAGAAAAAGGTGAACAAAGGCATACAAAGGGTTAAAGCAGCTGGTATTAAGGTGGGTACATATCAGGACATTATCAGGACATTGGTTATTTTTTTTTTAAGGGGGGGGGAGCAAGGGTGGAATATATTGCAGAGAAGAAGAAATTTTTCTTTGACGAAATCTCTTGTAAAAAGTAATTGTTTTTTTCCCCGTCCTTATGTTAAAGTGAAGTCAATGATTTAACAAAAAGGATCATTCCTTTCTGACATCAGCAGTTTGGGAATATTTTCACTTGAAACATCCCATCTTACACACTACTGCACATAGCCATCTGCCTTGAATCAAACTTTACTGTTTAGTCTCACAAGTGTTCAATAACTTGGCCTGTATATCCCTGATTAGCCTGAATCAAACTTAACTGTTTTGTCACACAAGTGTTCAATAACTTGGCCTGTATATTAACTGTTTTGTCACACAAGTGTTCAATAACTTGGCCTGTATATCCCTGATTAGCCTGTAGCCTTAGTTTCTTAAAACAAATTCATTTAGTATTAGCCATATACAGGGGAGAAAAATCATTACACTAAATTAATTAATGGCTTCATCATTAGATTCTAATTGCTCATCCCGCAAAGGGTAACACTACATTTATCATAACACAATAATTTACATAATAATAAGAATCTCAATAAATATCCTTTCATAATTAATTGATGAATTTATTCCTAGATTTTTTTAAAGCCCAAAAAGGTATGAATGTATAACCTTAAAATTATAAAACCAGAACCATGCAAAATGTACGAATCAAATATTGGAATATACAACAACACATGATTTACATGATTTCAAAACTTGGATTACAAAATTGAATTTAACAGTTTATTGACAGTTTAAGCTAAATAATTATATTTTGTTTTTATTGTAAATATTTTGTTAGCTAGATTTATTTTTTTTTTAAATGTACATACCAAAAATAGAATTAGGCTATAAAGATTTAAATATCAGACTTAGCAGACACAAAGACATTCATAAGTTGTTCATGGCCTTTTTAAAATGTAACTGGGTAACACATTTTTATTATAAAATAATAAGTAGGTAAAGTTCACTTTTCAAACCTGACCCATCTTGAGCTAAGTGGAGTTTACTTGTATCTAGTTGAATTTTATTTTTTTTAATTTAAATTTTAATTTCTGTTTCCTGCTGATTAACCCTAAATTTAAAAATGACCTACATCAAAGCATAAACACATAGCTCCAATGTCTTAAACAATTACTGGATTAAAGAAATCTCAACCTTTTTACCGGATTAAAGAAATCTCAACCTTTTTACCGGATTAAAGAAATCTCAACCTATTTTAATGGATTTTAAAATCTAAACAATTATCCAGTATCAACTATTAGTCAGATATTCTGAGTGGAGAAATCCATCAGTAGCTGCATATACAAAAGTTAAACAAAATTACACAATCAATAGTTGGAGACAGTTTCTGGATAGAACAATAGCTTCATACTTTCATCAGTGGTTCTTATGGGAAACCAGACACAGACAAAATATAATTTTATGTTCATATATTAATCGCATAAGTGTTTTTTTAAAAACAGAAACTTAATACATTCATATTTGAATGAGTGGTTTTCACATAACATTTTTTCAACTTAAGATAATGGTGCATTAGTATTTCATAGTGGCCCTGACACAAATGTGGCAAACATATACTTCGGATGATGTCATCACAGGTGTGTATAGCATGTACAATAGTTCAAGCTATCACAGGTGTGTATAGTATGTCATCACAGGTGTGTATAGCATGTCATCACAGGTGTGTATAGCATGCTATCACAGGTGTGTATAGCATGCTATCACAGGTGTGTATAGCATGTCATCACAGGTGTGTATAGCATGTACAATAGTTCAAGGCAAACAATTAGAAAATAATGAATAAAAGACACAGGAATATGAAAAGAATAAAAAAATGTTGTCCTTAGATCTTTGCATGCCACAGACTGGAGTATTGAAGAAACTTATTTGTCCTTGCTTAGATCTTTACAAGACGCTGACCGCTTCATGGAAGAGAAGAACTTGCGCTGGACGAGAGCCCAGTGGTAGAACCAGCTGACCAGGATGAAAAGACCTTGACCCAACAGCAACATGGCAGCGTTCCTGGTCAGGGGGTTGGGGGAAAAAAGTAGGTAACCGGTGGTAACTGGGGAATATCAAGGTCAAGGTCAAGTCAAATTATTGTGTACAGAATTTGGAGATAAACTCAAAACATTTGTAGCAATAGGTTCTGTTGTGGCAGTTAATGCAGCATTATTATAAAATACAATTTTATACTTTTGAAATTAGGAAAACTAATGCTTGGAGATTTATAAGAAGTTGATCAAGCAAAAATTTGCAATAGTAGAAAAATTAGAGTTTTATTGTTTTGTAATCATGCTCAAGTTTAGCAATTGGTGTTAAATTAACTAGCTTATCAACATAATATTAACATAAATCCTAGCTACTTTTTAAATTTACAATTTCATTTTTTAGTAAAAAAAAAATAAAAACACCTCATTTGCGTGCAGGAATATGTTTTAACACTTGCAAATTTAAAAAGCGAAAAAACAAAAAAAAAATATGCAACAAATTTGATAAAATAACAAAGTGTGCTGCAGAAATAAAGATAATGAAACGTGCAGCCGTGTAGTAAAGGTGCGACATTGCGTTCTTGACATGCATGTGAAATGTGGTTAGAACAAGATGTGCTGGTACCTGTACATTTAGTTCTGTTAATGCAAAATAATAGTGCAAAATATGATAAAGGTGATATTGAACACTTTAATCTAATTAACAAAAGCAATAAATAAGAATACAGTGTTGGCTGTGATCTAATAGATTTTGTATGCTTGTTTTAGAAGATGAATTTATTTTCTTTTGTTAACAAATTGAATTGTTTATGTGTATTGGCAATAGATACATCCAGTTTTATTATTTTTCTTCAACGTCATTGTGCAGGATTTTATTTGTAAAAGTATAAAGGGAGGCTAATCGTACTCAAATTTTAGCTTGTAATGAATTGTTTTGGTTCCTTCCCTTTAATATAATTCGGTATTTAATTTTTGCTTAAATTATACTTACAGCTACCTGATTGGTAGTGAATATTAAATGACTTTTATCTAACAAAGCGTTTTTATTACAAAATCATTAACTAGATTATCTAAAATAAAAATTACACCTGCAAGAAAGTTAAATCTTTTCTTAACCAATGGAAGCTGAACATCTTGTGGCAAGGGGTGTTGCAAAAACAACAAGGGGTATCTGAGAACTATGTTACCTATGTATTCTCATCCTAACACAACCAACAGAGCTCTATATTGACTGTAAAGTTAAATGCAGGGGTATTTCATACAAAATAAAAGCTAAAATTACAGCTATACCTGGTGCGGGTAGGTTAAATAAAATTGTAAATGCAGTTCATTATTGTCAAGATGCAGACTTTAAATCCTACAAAGCTTAAAAAACAGGAGCAACATTGCTAGTAGATTACATGGTTCAAACAAGAAAATATGAAACTGCTCTAGGAAGCCTGCCATGCTTCATGGCACAAGCAGCTACAGGGGGGGGGGGACTTACAAGATGTGGGGCCAGAAGCTAAGGGTCAAGGTCAACGGTAGTGCCTCAAGTCTCGCGTGAGGACCACGTAGAAATACAGGCTCCCCAGAATCTGTGCGGCCCTCCAGCCCACGTTGGCCCAGTGGCCACAGATGCTAGAGATGGGGGAGGCCAGGGGTGTAGATGAGAACACTGAAACTGAACAAGGCGGAGCCATTCATTACGTTGTGTACCAGAAGAGCCATACTTTACTATTTGTTGTGGCGGAGCCATACAATAAATTTAATTTTTACTAAAAATTTTGAAACTTATCACAACCATGAATTGAAAGTTGTGAAGTTTCTAAAAATCTGAAAGAAAACATTTTCATTACTCCATTGGCAAAAAATTTCTAAAGTTTAAAAAAAGATTTTTAAAATTATTATCCAAATAAGATAAAGACAATGAAACTTATCCTAATGTCTGAAATTGTGAATCATAATTAAAAAGATTGTGAGACAAAATTTAAAAAAAAATAGATTTACATAAAATTAATTACAAATATTGTGTGCTGGTCTCTAATTTATTTCAGTCTCAAAGCATTAGTTTTCATAATATTTGTTAATGATTTAATATGTTTTATGTATAGAGCAGTAGGCCTAACTGAAAGTTGATGTAGAAAATGGTATCTGCCTGAATTCTGCCTGAATTCTCCACAAAGATCAGGTCTGTTTCAAACTGGGTCAGTGGGAAGTTCACCAGTATAAGAGATTACAAAGTATAATTTTAATCAATACTTAGTAGGCTTATGGATGTAAATAAGTGATTAGTCCTACTGTAAGCTTGCAGCATATCAGTATGTCATGTACTTTATAAATATTGACATATGTCAAGAGTGAGCTTGAGTTAGTACAATTTAGTTCAAATACTCCTTCACTGTGTAGTGTGTAATGTGTGTGTAGGCCCACTGACTACTCAGATGATACAAGCACAAGAAACTTTCATTTCTCATTGGCCAGTAGGTCTTTGCATGTCAATGCTAACATTAGGCAAGATCTTGATAATCAAGGAAACACAGAACTAATTATTAATAAATTAATAGCAAAGACATATAAAATATTGGTCTACAAAAGTTGACATTTTTAAAGTGGTAGATAAGTATATTAGTAGTATATTAGTATATTATTAGTTGCTAAAATTAGAAAAATCAAACTGCATCGAGTTACTCCCAGAAGATCACTGTGCAAAGATATAATTATAAACTTATAAACTGCACAAAACTAGCTCGACATACTCATCAGGCCAGACCTCTGGACAAATGGTCATTCTGGTGCAGCAGAAAACACATACACAATGTAAACAACACTAGACCAGGCATACTGAGCGTCATACAGGAAGCTCTTCTAACTGGCAGCCACTGACTCCACTCACATCAGTTAAATTAATTTTAGCGCCAGTGGAGATTATTTTTAGCGATTTCATATCTGGCTAAAGGGGAATCTTAAAAAGCTGTACTTACCTAGGAACTGAATGGCGAAATAAACAATGGAAGTGAGCAGGCACATGCGTATGATGTCCCTGTCTTGTGAGCTCAGGGTCACCCAGTACACAATGGACAAGCCTAGGGTAAAGTGGCCAGATTCGTTTTTTTAAGGAACTTATAAAACATGTAGATTCTATATGGTATGAAAGCAATGCTAGGTTTGCTCCATAAATGGCTCCACTTTATTGCATTTATTAATATTTCTAAATAAGTACATAATAAAACAGCAAATTTATTAATTCAAGCAGGAATTGACTAATGAATGCACCAGCTAATTGACTTACTAATTAATGCACCACCTAATTGACTTACTAATTAATGCAACAGCTAATTGACTTACTAATTAATGCACCACCATATAGTCGAACTGGCAAGGTGATGTTGTCGACTCCTTCAAGACTTGTGTTGAACAGGTGTGAAGGTAGGATTAGTGCCTGTCAACATACAAACACAGGTGTGATGTGGGATTAATGTAGGGGATTAGTGGCTATCAACATACAAACACAGGTGTGATGGGGGGGGGATTAGTGTAGGGAGATTAGTGGCTGTCAACATACAAACACAGGTGTGATGGGGGGATTAGTGCCTGTCAACATACAAACACAGGTGTGATGGGGGATTAGTGCCTGTCAACATACAAACACAGGTGTGATGGGGGATTAGTGCCTGTCAACATACAAACACAGGTGTGAGGGGGGTTTAGTGCCTGTCAACACAAACATGTATTAGATTGTTGGTTTGTTGAGTTGTTATAGCCTGCACCATCGTTAGATGTGGCTAGAACTGTTTTATTGTACTTTATAAAACCATTTTTCTATTAGGCCTGTGGAGCATGTTCTAAAGCCGACGATAAAATCCCTATCAGTTTTAGGGGTCTAGATCTAAAAAAAGCTAACAATCGTACCATAAACCACACATATCCAATATAAGATATTACCATACAATAGTACCACAGAACACAACCATCAGATATAGACATCAAATGCAAATATAGATTTCTGTTAGGATTGTTACATATAAGTATTTACGTAAATTTAGAGTACTTCCCTTTTGTTTACATGTTTCCATTAACCTTCAATCCATAGTCTATTTTAGTTATATTGATATCAAAGAATGTAAATAAATAGTACACACATTTTGTAGCATAGGAACGATTGGGAGGGAAGTGACATAGAGCGCAGAAAACTTAGATGTTAGGTAGGGTATAAAAGGTGGGGTTAGGAAAGTTAGGGGGTCCATTCTCTTATAGGCATCCTAGGTTTCGTGTGATCTCACAAGCAATAAAAGTAACTAATTGTAAAATTGTAAACGGACTTCGTGTTTGATTCTTGTCGACCCTGTCCTCACCTCGCAACAATTTCAACCCAAACATTTAGGCCTAATTGATTAAATTTAGTAAAGAAAAAAATCCTAATTTAATGACCGAGTGTTTTACAATCGACCTAACCTGCACACAGAATCAACCCCCGCCCCCACCCTGCACACAGAATAACCCCCCCCCCCCACCCCTGCACACGAAATAAAGAAAGAAATACGAAAGTGACAACAAACATACAATCTGGCAAATTGGACAAAATCGCCTTCCATTTGTGGGTGTCATTATTTACATTGACTGGCAGCTATTTCCAGCAGAAAATGACAGTCTAGAATGTTGGGATGACGCCGACAGCTGAATTTATTTAAGTCGTATCCTCTAACCCCCCCCCCCCCCAGAGGCGTAGCGACCCTTCCTGGCGCCCGGGGACAAACTTTTGATTTGGCGCCCCCTCCCCTCAAACTTTCTATTTGCACCCCCCCCCCCCTCTCGTGAAACTGAAAAAATGCAGCTAAAATGACATTTTAATTTGTTTTTACAACCCATTTTGGCGCCCCCTAAGGTTGGCGCCCGGGGACATATGTCCCCCCCTGCCCCCCCATAGCTACGCCTCTGGGCCCCCCCCCCCCCACTCCACCTGCCTACGCCACTGGTTGGGATGACGCATACAGCTGAGTTGATTCTAGTCGGGATATGCTGGTCCCTCAACGCTAAAAGCAAAATATTTTTAACCTAACTTAGTAAAATAATTTTGCTGTGCTATTTAATAATATATTAATTATATTAATTAATATATTAATTAATATTATCTTATAACTATTATAACCGTTTATCTTTACATATTACCTTATAACTATTTTAGCCATTTTCTTACAACAAACATATGAACAAGGAAGTAGCTTACTATTGTTTCAATTGTCAGACATAAAATAGACGTAGACCTAATAATATTTTACAAAAATTCATTTAGATGGAAAATTATAGCGACTTTTAAAAAGGAAATAAACTAGAAGCGCGTAAATGATCTAACTTGATTATAAATACATATAGATATAGCTCACATCGCTTAAGGCCCTACAGCGAAAATCTTAAACGGCTTCCAACGATGACGTCACGCGAAGAGAAATTAAGTGACGTCACTACATGGTGGGGAGGGGGGGGGGGGGGCTGGAGCATTTTTCTCTGGATCTAAGGGACAATATCCAGAGGGTCATCAGCTGTACAGATGGTGGGGGGGGGGGCTGTGACAGAGAGAAGGGTTTGTGACATTGTGACATAGATGGGAGGTTTGTGACATTGTGGTACGTGGCTGTGAAGAGGTTTTCTTTTGTGTTTAAAAATACTTGTCACAAAATTTCCTAAATTTAAAAAAAAAGACGTCGAGAATTGTCCTTTGATTATTTGTTACGAAAATCGATGTAGGCTATATCTAACCGCGAATATTTTTTTTTACGTTAAGAGAATACCCCAACGGCTAATACAACTAACGTAATTAGTTGAATTCCCACATAAAAAAAAAATCTCCATATTTCACCAGGCCTCATGGGGCAAATTTAAATATCCTGAGAGGTAGTTACAGTGGTCGTCTTTTTAAAATGTCGTGTTAGATATGCGATAAATTAGAACATTCGGTGACAAATCGTGACAGGTAGTTATGTGACAAATTATGACAGGTAAATATGTCACCTGACATGGTGCGATGTAGCAACGCGTCATCTAATGACAAGCCAGAGGAAGATTTTTTACTACTACTTTTCTTGCTGCAATAATGATTTGCTTCTTGCCCTAGAGTGGCCAAAACTCAGTCTAAACTGATCTCTGATTAGAATTATGTATTATAATTGTTCATCGCCCTACTATTCTACAGTTTGATTCGTCGCTCAACATGACCTTTGTCCCCTGATGAAATCTAAATATAGTATCACATCTTTGGTCCAACACTGGATCCAACAGAGGGAAAGTGATACGTTGGTCAACAAAGTACATTTTCTTAGCGTGTGATGCCGAGGTTTTCCAATAGGGCAGCCAATTAGTGAGATAACGGAGACGAGGTGACTTAATTAGTCAGGTAGTTGAGACACTTTAATCGATTGGAGTCAGGTAGTTGAGACACTTTGATCAAGTGGAGTCAGGTAGTTGAGACACTTTAATCAATTTTGCAGAACTAATAAAACTCGCTGAGATAATTGAATATGCTGAGATAAACTTACTGAGATAAATAAATTTGGTGAGGTAAAACTTGTTGAAATCATTAAGCTCACTGAGATAACTTAGCTCGCGGTTACTATCACTCCCGGACGAGCCCCCAATTGGCCAGTCCGTCACCTGTGTAGCCACAGTTGTAACACGAAAGATGACCCAAGATGGCCTCTTACTATAACAAGGTGTTTTAAGCTTGATGATAAACACAGCATTGGTTTTAAAATGGCGGCACTTTAAATGGGTCGACACCCGAGTTTCTTCCGGAAAAAATCTGAGCAAGTCGGTCAAAATCTTCTGTGCGGTAAGGTCAAGGCTACTTCATTACGTGGATTAGGTAACAGAAAAACTAATCAAGATCAAACAGCGATAAAGATTAATGGGTATAAGGGTTAAGGCTTTTTTAACCCAAGAGCTGTAACTCTACTCGAATGGTCTCCCCTGGGTAGTCCATCTAAAATGGCTGCCCCTGACTGATAAGGGAGGTAATCATGGGCCCGCAGGCAAGGGACATTACTGGTGAGGTAATTCGAGATAATGTCCCCTTAATGGAAAGGTTGAAACCACCGTTTCTTGTTGCTGTCCCTGCATGCTCGACCTTACCAGGGCCCATAAGGCACCTCAGCCTCCCCTCCCCCACCCAAACCAGGGACCTTAAGGCACCTCAGCCTCCCCTCCCCCAGTTTAAACAGGACCCATAAGGCACCTCAGCCTCCCCTCCCCCACCCAAACCAGGGACCATAAGCCACCCCAGCCTCCCCTCCCCCACCCTAAACAGGGCCAATAAGCCACCCCAGCCTCCCCTCCTAGATAACCTGACCAAAGCGGCCGCTGCAGCATTAACAAAAGACGAGCCAGCTACATTTGAACCCCCCCCCCCCTAAAACTAGGGCTGGACCTGGCTCACGAGCCGGAGCCGCGTTAATCTGTGACGTAATGCACTTAAGACTAGCTCTCTAATGTGTCACTCACCCCGCTCTATGGTAATCTCCCCCCCCCCACCTCTCCCTCTCCTCCCCCCCCCCGTCAAAACCTGGTGAAAAATATTCAATGAATGAAAAGAGGATGGAAGCCATTCAACGAAGTAAATTTTTTAATGAAATCTATGTTTGGGTAATTAATTGATTGAAGATATTTACCGACTGAGCGTTTTATAAGTGAATGCGTTGCTCGGTACAAGGTCAACACAACGACCTTGAGACAGGTTACTTACCCAGGTGAAGGCCAACACAACGACCTTGAGACAGGTGACTTACACAGGTGAAGGCCAACACAACGACCTTGAGACAGGTAACTTACATAGGTGAAGGTCAACACAACGACCTTGACAGAGGTTACTCACCCAGGTGCCAATGAAGGTGAACATGCATGCCATGATGAGCTGCCATACCCTGAGGCCGTAGGGCAGGCGGATGTACAGCTGGTCACTGTGACCCAGGATCTGGCTCAGCTGGGGACAGACGAGAACAGGTCAAGGTCACAGTAGCACGTGACTCTAGCTGGTCAAGGTCACAGTCGCACGTGACTCTAGTTGGTCAAGGTCACAGTAGCACGTGACTCTCTAGCTCGTCAAGGTCACACGTGACTCTCTAGTTGGTCAAGGTCACACGTGACTCTCTAGTTGGTCAAGGTCACACGTCACACGTGACTCTCTAGCTGGTCAAGGTCACACGTCACTCTCTAGTTGGTCAAGGTCACAGTCACACGTCATGCTAACTCTCAAACCCTAGCCATAAATCTAGTTTAAACACTACTGTAGCTGTAAACCTAACTAAAAGCCTTGCTGAATCCCTCCTTATAGACTTTCTCTAGCCAAAACAATAACCCTCTCTCCATTATCAGTCAACTCTCTTTAACCCACTCAAAACCTAGCTCTATGTCCACCCCTCCCTATACCCCCCTTGCTGTAACCATAGCTTATAACATACCTCAAGCCAACGATACAATACTAGCCATATAGCTAAACAGCTATAGCCCAAGTCTTAAGCCAAATTCAGACCACTGATGTAAGTTCTAAAACACTTGAATCCAGTGTTTCTTCCAGACTTTTTTCTCCGGGGGGGGGGGGGGGCACTTGAAATTTTCGGGGGGGGGGGGGGGCGGTAAACTTTCTTCGGGGGGGGGGGGGGCGGACACTGTTAAAAGTATATATTTTCTATATAAATTATATAAATTTCATTCCGTTCGGGGTGCGGTCAAAATTTTTCGGCCCCCCCCCCGAAGAGATGCCTGGAAGAAACTCTGCTTGTATCATGAAGGAAGGCCACGTTTCTTCCGTAAGTTCTCACTGATCAGTGGAACAGCAAACATATATTGTTGGTATTGTTATAGACAGGTTTGGCTAGGTGGTTTGAATAGATTGAGTTCTGGCCGCAATAGTTAAACATCTTAAAAAACCGGGTTAGAGGGGAGCTAATCCAATGGTCAGACGTCAGTTGAAAGTTCTATCGATGAGGTCAGCAGGCAATCCATTGATCTATTGAGTCCATCCATCGATCTGACGTGTCAGTGACAACTGTGATTGATTTGTTTACTGGCTGATCTAGCCACCATAATTAAACCATAATTAAACCATAATTAAACCAGCGAAGTCCATTCACCTAATGTATTGGTTTGAGTTCACGTTGAATCTGTGTTTTTGTGTTACCAACACACATATTGATCAACCTATACATAATGAGTTTTGATCTAGTATAGAACCTAACCATCTCGAGCCACTTCAATCAAGTTTTTCCCATCAAAGTTAATAGCTCTTCATCGATTTTTATTTTATCGATCTTCCCTTTAGGGTGAAAACTAGGCTAATTTTTAAAAACCTTGTTCCTTACAAATTGTTTTAATCAACTGATTTTTCCCTGATATTCCATAACTGTATGCATATCTCTACCTACTCTCTCAGCTTTCAGATAATCGTAAATATCATATTTCTTTCATTTTCAAATATATCCGCTTTATCTCCCTTTTCCCCTTATTTGTCATATTTCTATTTTTAGTTTCTTAATTTCCAATCAGCCCTTTGCAATATGTTTTCATATATTCCAAACATTCCTCTCAATATTCTCACACCCCACAAGTCCCCTACATAGACCCCCACAAGTCCCCTACATAGACCCCCACAAGTCCCCTACATAGACCCCCACAAGTCCCCTACATAGACCCCCACAAGTCCCCTACATAGACCCCCACAAGTGCCCTACATAGACCCCCACAAGTCCCCTACATAGACCCCCACAAGTCCCCTACATAGACCCCCACAAGTACCCTACATAGACCCCACAAGTCCCCTACATAGACCCCCACAAGTACCCTACATAGACCCCCACTAAACCCCTCTTTGCCCACACAACTATTAAAGCTGTCTTGAACTGCTCACCCAAAACGTGATTCTAGCACCAGCAGGGTTAGACAGTGGTTGGTACAAACAATGGCCTTCAAGCTTCTCAGTTTGTGTTGGACATGATGTAGGGGCTCCATTGAGTTATGTGCCACATGCAGTCATTGGTCTAGGACTCAATGTGCCACATAGATGTCAACGGTCATCTCTTGTAATGTCAAGTTATTTTAGTTAGCTCAAGTTTCAATGTCATGTTTTCTCAAGAATGTCATTTTAACTCTGTCATATAATGCTATGTTACGTCATTTAACGTCAAGCTACTCTTAGTTCAGAACTTTGTTACTATTTTTAATCTGAGTAACAGCGCCCCCTAATGGAGGAAGCTTTTAGCGGTATTCATACGCCCAAGTCCTCAGATCCATTCAAGAAATAAAACTCAAGAAAGGAAAAGTTTTAAGCTAAAAAAAATGACAAATTTAATTTAAGCTAGAAAAGTGGTTGTCGGTTGTTTATTTAAACCAGAAATGTGGTTGTCCGTGGTTTATTTAAATAAAACAAAAAATTTGGTTGTCGGTGGTTTATTGAAACTATAAATGTAGTTGTCGGTGGTTTATTGAACCTATAAATGTGGTTGTCGGTGGTTTATTGAAACTATAAATGTGGTTGTCCGTGGTTAACCTATTAATGTGGTTGTCGGTGGTTTATTTAACTCAGAAATGTGGTTGTCGGTGGTTTATTTAAACCAGAAATGTGGTTGTCGGTGGTTATTTAAATAAAACCGAAAATTTGGTTGTCGGTGGTTTATTGAAACTATAAATGTAGTTGTCGGTGGTTTATTGAACCTATAAATGTAGTTGTCGGTGGTTTATTGAACCTATAAATGTGGTTGTCGGTGGTTTATTGAAACTATAAATGTGGTTGTCCGTGGTTAACCTATTAATATGGTTGTCGGTGGTTTATTTAACTCAGAAATGTGGTTGTCGGTGGTTTATTTAACCTATAAATGTGGTTGTCCGTGGTTAACGTATTGATGTGGTTGTCGGTGGTTTATTTAACTCAGAAATGTGGTTATCGGTGGTTTATTTAACCTATAAATGTGGTTGTCGGTGGTTTATTGAAACTATAAATGTTGTTGTCCGTGGTTAACCTATTAATGTGGTTGTCGGTGGTTTATTTAACTCAGAAATGTGGTTGTCGGTGGTTTATCTAACCTATAAATGTGGTTGTCGGTGGTTAACCCAGAAATGGCGACTAACCTTTGACCTAATGACCTGCTAGTGAGGACTGACCTTTGACCTAATGACCTGCTAGTGAGGACTGACCTTTGACCTAATACCTTTGACTAATGACCTGCTAGTAAGGACTGACCTTTGACCTGTGGATGTCCCCATCGTCCGTCTCCCCCACACCCAGGAGCTTGCGAGTCTTTAACCGGCTGTGGAGGTCTCCACTGCTGTGTTTTCTGGGGAAGATAGAGGCAACGTTGGCACATTTGTATATGGAACATGTGGCATTGGGCACATTTGTATATGGAACATGTAGCATTTGGCACATTTGTATAGGGAACATGAGGCAACGTTGGCACATTTGTATATGGAACATGTAGCATTTGGCACATTTGTATAGGGAACATGAGGCAACGTTGGCACATTTGTATATGGAACATGTGGCATTTGGCACATTTGTATAGGGAACATGAGGCAACGTTGGCACATTTGTATAGGGAACATGTGGCACTGGGCACATTTGTATATGGAACATGTGGCATTGGGCACATTTGTATAGGGAAATGGCATTCGGCATATTTGTATAGGGAACTGGCATTAGGCACATTTGTATAGGGAACATGTGGCATTGGGCACATTTGTATTGGGAACATGTGGCATTGGGCACATTTGTATCGCAAACATGAGGCAACGTTGGCACATTTGTATAGAGAACTGGCATTGGGCACATTTGTATAGGGAACATGAGGCACTGGGCACATTTGTATAGGGAAATGGCATTCGGCACATTTGTATAGGGAACATGTGGCATTGGGCACATTTGTATAGGGAACATGAGGCAACGTTGGCATATTTGTATAGGGAACTGGCATTGGGCACATTTGTATAGGGAACATGAGGCAACGTTGGCACATTTGTATAGGGAACATGTGGCAACGTTGGCACATTTGTATAGGGAACATGTGGCAACGTTGGCACATTTTTATAGGGAACATGTGGCATTGGGCACATTTGTATAGAGAAATGGCATTCGGCATATTTATATAGGGAACTGGCATTAGGCACATTTGTATAGGGAACATGTGGCATTGGGCATATTTGTATATGGAACTTGAGGCAACGTTGGCACATTTGTATAGGGAACTGGCATTGGGCACATTTGTATAGGGAACATGTGGCATTGGGCACATTTATATAGGGAACGTGTGGCATTAGGCACATTTGTATAGGGAACATGAGGCAAGGTTGGCACATTTGTATAGGGAACTGGCATCGGGCACATTTGTATAAGGAACATGAGGCAGCGTTGGCACATTTGTACAGGGAATATGTAGCATTGCGAACATTTGTATAGGGAACATATGACAATGGGCATATTTGTAAAAGGAACATACATGTGGCATTGGGCATATTTATATAGTGGACAAGTGACATTGGGCACATTTGTCGACCAGAATCCAGTAAGCCGCCATTCTGAGCTAAGATCTACAATTGATTTAAAATCGTTTCAAATATAAAAATATTTCTATTCGACGTATCACATGGCCGCGCGAGGACCGATATTGTAACGAAAAAAAAATCGATCACACAAATTCGCCATGTACTATACTCCTGTCCATTTTAAAATAATCAACAAACATGAACCGGAAGAAGATTTTAATAATTTTAAAATAAAAAAAGGTTATTTCCGGGAAAATATTGGATTGGAAGTGAATTTTCTATGGAGTTTTTCATTGGCCGATTTTTTTTTTGCCCGACCAAAGTTCGGCTTCTAGCAATATCTGTCGAATTAAGTAATGTGTGTGGAAAAGTATCCCCCCCCCACCCTGCCGATACTTCCATACACGAGCTATTTATAAAAGTTTTATTTTACACGGTCAGGTAACCGAAGAATGGAAGTGGTCAGCACGTGCGAGAGTAATTAAGGATAATGCAGATGATTAACAAACCCTAATTAACTAACAGGCCCTGGTTGATCCTTCATTACCCGAGTCAACTAAGTTTCAACAAATTGTCAAGGGTTAAATAACCAATTTTACAGTAGCGACTCTCCAATTCGCTAGATGTATTGGGAAAACAAAATTTACAGTAATGTTCAAAGTAAATAAAGATGAAATTTAATCTCGCCAAGAAAATTAAAGTAAGATAATCTGTCTCATAGACGCGAATATTGTCTAGGTAAAAACGGTGGTGGTTTTTTAAACTTGCAGCATCGGGGTTATTGTTGACACGTCATCACGTGCAAGTTGTGTCACATAGACACCATAGCTGTCAGCGGTGTTGTTGCTGTCCTTAGGTCTTGGGTTTCTGTGGGTGTGGCGAGAGAGATATGTGGTGATTATCTGATGTTGTCTGCTTTTTAGTCAGATATCATACAAGTATCTGAAGTGTGCTAAATTAATCGAGTTTTAAATTTATGGTTGTGTTCCAAAATGTTTTGGTCTTTGCATCAAGTCCTGTAGTAGAAAATGTTTAATTTATAATTATTTTCATGGTTTACAATTTCAAATGTTCTAAATAGTGATCACAAAATTGGAAAAAGATTATTTCTGGTTAAAAGAAGGTTTGATAAATACGTGGTAGGTCAAGTCACACGTGACACAATATTGACGTGATATTCTGTCACGTGTGTCACAATATTGACGTGATATTCTGTCACGGGTGTCACAATATTGACGTGATATTCTGTCACGTGTCACAATATTGACGTGATCGACCTTCAATCATGTTGCCAGATCACACTTTTGTCAACAAAAAGTCGGAGTTTATTTTTAGAACTAATCTAAAAAACGTAGCCGATAAAAATAGCCAACTGATTCGTCCTGGGCATGATTTGAGCAATGTTGTCGGGAAATAAATAGCAGCAACTGTACACAAAAATGTCCCCATACAAACCCTTCCCCCCCCCCCCCCCACACACACACACTCTAGAATTAATCACGAGCAACAGATAAAAAATAGGATTTGATTTCATGCGGGAGAGACCAGATTAATCTGCTTTTCTCACCCCCCCCCCCCCACACACACACATTTCTCTTCTTGTTTCCCACACTCTCTCCATCCCAGTTTTCTCTCAACTCTCCCACATCAACTCACAGATATAGACAGCCACATCAACTCACAGATACTGACACTAATACTGACACATCTTTAAGATTGTAAACTTAAGGATGTGTCAGTACCTGTGTCAGTATCTGTGTCAGTATCTGTGTCAGTACCTGTGTCAGTACCTGTGTCAGTACCTGTGTCAGTAACTGTGTCAGTATCTGTGTCAGTATCTGTGTCAGTATATGTGTCAGTACCTGTGTCAGTACCTGTATCAGTATCTGTGTCAGTACCTGTGTCAGTACCTGTGTCAGTACCTGTGTCAGTACCTGTGTCAGTACCTGTGTCAGTACCTGTGTCATTACCTGTGTCAGTATCTGTGTCAGTACCTGTGTCAGTACCTGTATCAGTATCTGTGTCAGTACCTGTGTCAGTACCTGTGTCAGTACCTGTGTCAGTACCTGTGTCAGTACCTGTGTCAGTACCTGTGTCAGTACCTGTGTCAGTACCTGTGTCAGTACCTGTGTCAGTACCTGTGTCAGTACCTGTGTCAGTACCTGTGTCATTACCTGTGTCAGTACCTGTGTCAGTACCTGTGTCAGTACCTACGCCCCCACCCACGTAGAGGTTGAAGATTGATCAAAGAAACAATGTCACTTTTCTCTGTGACCCAACCCTTCCCACGACACCCATCACCTAGGCTCCCCACCCCTACCCATCAGCCCCACCATGGCCCCACCCCACCTTGGCGCCCCACCCCACCTTGGCGCCCCACCCCACCTTGGCGCCCCACCCCAACTTGGCGCCCCACCCACCTTAGCCCCACCCCACCGTGGCCCCACCCCACCTTGGCGCCCCACCCCACCTTGGCGCCCCACCCTACCTTAGCAACAGCTTGAGGAACTGGTTGACGACACTGGGTGACCTTTTGACCTCCCCCTCGTCGAAGGAGGTCGCCGTTGGTGTGGGGGGAGGTTCCTCGTGGTTTGCATCTGTGACTGACATCGTGTTCTTGTCACAGGGGTTCATGGGGGGGGGGTCACAAGGGTTCGCTCATCCAATGAATGACGTCACAAAAGCCACTTCAAAAAGTTTGTAGCTGATTTTTATCGATCAAAACATAAACACAACATGTATTGGGCTATAGAGGCCCACCAACATGTTTAAATGTCTAAAAATACACTTCTCACCTAGAGATAGGTTGGAAACAATTAGTTCTCCTGTCGTTCAATAGATATTTATAGCTAATAAATTAGTGTATGAATTATAAATGAATCCAACGATGGTGCCACGGGTCCAACGTGTAGTATGCACTGTTTAAGTCTGTCATTTCGTTGTCATTTTATGTCATCTTGTCTAACTACTATTTTTAGCAGTGTCATTGTCTTCTGTCATTACTATGTCATTTACACCGTGTCATTTTGTTGTCGAACCGAATTCTGACGAATAAATCCCTAGCTTAGCTGTTGTACCCGTCTAGAGCTGCTGTACCCGTCTAAAGATGCTGTACCCGTCTAGAGCTACTGTACACGTCTAGAGCTACTGTACCCGTCTAGAGCTACTGTACCCGTCTAGATCTACTGTATCCGTCTAACAAGAGCTACTGTACCCATCTAGAGCTACTGTACCCGTCTAGAGCTACTGTACCCGTCTAGAGCAACTGTGCCCGTCTAGAGCTACTGTATCCGTCTAGATCTACTGTACCCGTCTATAGCTACCCGTCTAGATCTACTGTACCCGTCTAGATCTACTGCACCCGTCTAGAGCTACTGTATCCGTCTAGAGCTACTGTACCCGTCTAGAGCAACTGTGCCCGTCTAGATCTACTGGGCCCATCTAGAGCTACTGTACCCGTCTAGATCTACTGTACCCGTCTATAGCTACCCGTCTAGAACTACTGTACCCGTCTAGATCTAATGTACCCGTCTATAGCTACCCGTCTAGAACTACTGTACCCGTCTATATCTACTGTACCCGTCTAGATCTAATGTACCCGTCTAGAGCCACTGTACCCGTCTAGAGCTACCCGTCTAGAACTACTGTACCCGTCTAACCAGAGCTGCTGTACCCGTCTAGATCTACTGTACCCGTCTAACTAGAGCTGCTGTACCCGTCTAGATCTAATGTACCCGTCTAGAGCTACTGTACCCGTTTAGAACTACTGTACCCATCTAGATCTACTGTACCCATC